ATTTTTATTGTTACCAATACCATTATTACTATTATTATTTTTATTGTTATTAATTTTGGCGACATTGAGTAGAGCAGTTATGCCTAGCCCCACCAATCCATCAACCCTTTCGGCATCCATGCGACCACCCAAGTACAACCAGGGGAGGATTCTGGTGGGGTTGCTGGTCTGCTGGGGTGGGTGGGGGTAGGTGGACGGATGGATTGATGGATTGGAAGGATGGTTGGATTGGATGGATGGATGGATGGGTGGGCGATGAATGAATGAATAAATGAACGCATGAATCAACAAATCAGAATGAATGAATGAATGAACGAACGAACGAACGAACGAATGAATCAACCAATCAGACCATACCTTATCAGTAGTTTTCCCAGTGCAAAAAAACTTTCCCCCGGGGTTAGATGACGATGATGATGATGACGACGATGATGATGATGATGGTGGACAATATTTTGGTAATGATGACGATAATGATGACGATGATGATGATGGTGGTGGTGGTAGTGTTGCTGATAGCAGATTACTCCTCATTAGGTCTGGATATCGTTCACTGAACGTCTGGAAGCCGCCTGTGTGAATGAATGAATGAATGAGTGAGTGAATGAATGAACGAACAAACGAATGAACGAACGAATGAAATGAAAAAATAAATAAACTTATACCTACATAGACAATGAGATAGATAAACCAAACGAATGAGTATATGAATGAATGGATAAATGAATGAATGGATAAATGAATGAATGAACGAACGAACGAACGAACATTTAAATCAATCAATCAATTAACCAATCGGAGAGGAAGACAAATAAGTGAACCTTTTAGAAATTTGATCCTGCAGTGTTGATCACTGCTCAATAAGAGTTTAAAACTCTTCATAACAACCGATATGTTATTGCCGTCATCGGCGATGTAGTTGTTGTAGTTGCTTTTGTGGCCACTGCTGTTGTTGTAGTAGTTGTTGTGGCCGCTGCTGTTGTTGTAGTAGTTGTTGTAGCAGTATTTGAAGCTGCTGCCATTGCTGCTACTGCTATTGTTGTTGTCGTTGTTGATATTGCTTTTAATACTTGAATGTAAGAGAGGTTTGTCGTCGTTATTGTAAGATGCGACTTTTCGACAACAATTGTTGATGTTATTTATCTTGTTGTTAGTGTTGTTGATGATGTTGTTGTTGTTGATGTTATTATTGTTGTTGCTTTTGTTGATATTATTGTTGTTGTTGCTTTTGTTGATGTTGTTGTTGCTTTTGTTGATGTTATTGTTGTTGATGTTGTTGTTGTTGTTAATATTGTTGTTGATGTTGTTGTTGTTGTTGATGTTGTTGTTGTTGTTGTGATGCAACTCTTCAACATTTTGACAGCACTGATCGTAGATGACGACCAAATCGAACTGACCATCGAGAAACATCTTTCTCTTACTGGCATCAATAATTAAATTTTCTATTGGAATCTCTGTCCTTGTCTTTGTCGTCAACGTTGTTGTTGTTGTTATGACGTCTTCTGACAGAATGTTGTTGTTGTTGATGTTGTTGTTGATGTTGTTGTTGAAGTTGTTGTTATTGTTGTTGATGTTGTTGTTGTTAGTGTGGCTGTTGTTGTTATATCTGTTGACGTCACTTTGACTGTTTTTGAAATTGTTGCTGCCACTATCAATATTGTTGATGTTAATATTGATGTTGTTGATGATGTTGTTGTTGTTGTAGTTGTTGTTGATGTTGTTGTTGAGGTTGTTGTTGATGATGTTGTTGTTGAGGTTGTTGTTGATGATGTTGTTGTTGACGTTGTTGTTGATGTTATTTTTCAACAACTTCCTCTGTTGACATCGCCGCTGCAACAATGTTGGAAAGTGTATGTTCTCAGCTTGGAGGATGTGGTTGGTGTTGAAATGAATGAATGGGCGACAATCCAACAAGAGTATCCTTGTTGAGGATGATGATGATGTTGTTGTTGTTGCAGTTGTTGTTGATGTTGTTGTTGTTGCAGTTGTTGTTGATGATGATGTTACAGTTGAGGATGATGATGATGTTGATATTACTGTTGATGATGATGATGATGGTGTTGTTGTTGATGAGGATGATGGTGTTGTTGCTGTAATTGTTGCAGTCGTTGTTGATAACGATGATGTTGCAATTGATGATGATAATGATGACGTTGTTGGTGTTGTTGTTGCGTAGCGAATTGTTGAACAATCTCTTCTGGATCTCTTTGTCGGTATGCCACAATCATCATCCTCATCACTACCATCATCACCATCATCATCTCTACCATCATTACCATCACTTCCATGACTCTCATCATCACCACTACAATCCTCATCACCATTACTACCATCGTCACCAGCCCCACCATCTAAATTAGCTTGATGTTCGGAGAAGAAAGATCGACGAGCCCCGATCAAAATCCGATAAAGTTCTTCTGGGAGTATGAAATCCGGCTCCAATGAATCATCACCATCACCACCATCATCATCACCATCACCACCACCACCATCATCATCAGTATTCAACTCTCTGCCTAATTTCAGTGAAGATGGATTAGGCATGGCGACCGCATGGACGGACGGATAGAATTACTGGGTGATATTCGAGTGCTGCCAATTTTTTGATTTACTTGTCTATGTATGAATGGAGAAATAATTTATCTATGGATTGCCTTTTTTACTGTCTTGAAATAGAATAAAAAATAATTTATATTTGACGTTTAGGTAATTAAATTAGCTACTACAATCTGAAACAGTATTAATCAATCAATCTTCATTTTGCGTCCAGAAACGTAGTTCCCCGAGGTAGTATGTTTAATATTTGAATGAATTGGAATGAATTTAGCCAATTATTTAAATAAATTAAAATAATAATAATTTGTATACGATGAAAGTTAATCATCTGAAAGTCACACCTTGCCCCAATTCTATCCTCTTTTTAGTCTTTTGATTAGGTTATTAGGGATTTGTTGAGTTCAATTTTAGAGATCTGTCATCATTTTTTCCATCAGGTAATGTTGTGTTGTGATGTAATGTAATGTAGTATTATAATGTAATGTTGTAATGTAATGTAATCTTCTAATGTAATGTTGTAGTGTAATTTAATCTTCTAATCATGTAATTGTAATCAATGTGATGTTTTCATCTTTTAAAATGTGATATACTTTATTTTTGAGTTGTTCGATTAAAATTAAAATCAGGAGCCCAATTTATTTTAACTTTTGGAAGAATTGTAAAAGAAAAATGGAGAAATTAAGCCGATGGAATTATAAATTTATTATTAATTATTTGCAACATTGTTTTTATTAAATATAAATTATAAAAGTTGTTAAATTAAAAAGTTTAAACATTTAAATTTTATTAAACATTATGGTTATTTTTTCATATTTACAATTTTATAACAATAAGTATTAAATAAAAATTAGAGAATAATATTGAATGAAATTAATTTAAATTATAATTAAATTATTAAATAATAATTAATTCAATTTGACTTTTCATGTTAAAATTTATTGGGAAAACTTTTGAAAAATTTGACACTATTCTAACCGAAATGTTAAATTTCAGGGAAATAGCGATACAGCGAAACGATTTTTTACAGAAAATTTGATTAAAAAATAATTAAATAAATATAAAATTTAATCGTCGGCCATTTTCTTGGTAAAGTTAAAAGCAAATTTGGATGAATTTGTTTAAAAAAAGGGCAGAATTTAAAATTTATTAAATGTCATTTTATTCAATGAACGGACTGTTTACCGATTTAAAGAGCTGGTATTCGTGCGCGTAGTAAAGAGTTTTTTATTTTTATCAAATTTTTAATTAAAACTCACATTTTAATGTAATTTTTATTTCATATAATTTATCATAGCTAAATATTCAGTTTAATAATTTATAACTTAATCATATAATTATCAATTTAACATAATTAGCGTCAGAATGTGTGCGTAGTAATAAATGGAAAAAAATTACGGAGGTGGTTTTCATGAATGAGCTATTTTTAGAAATTATTATTAAGCCATTATAAAAAAAATTATTATTATTATTATTTCTTGTCAGTATTGTTTATTATTATTATTATTAAATAATTAATTAATTAATTAAATACAAATATATATATATGTATGTATGTATATATTTGTATACATTGTATGTATGTATACATTAGTACACCTACATTCATTCTTAAAATTTTTCCTAATGGAGTCTCTATCAATTTCAATTTGAGTGCAGTGCAGTTTAATTTTTACACGTAAATGTATCTCAGATAGGGCGGTTTTGATTATGATTGCGTTATTATTATTATTGTTGTTGTTATTAGTAGTAGTAATTAAATGGATGACAATTATCTTATATAAGCAATAAGCGAGGCTGTGATGTATGAATGTGTGTGTGAGTTTGTGTGTGTGTGTGTGTGTGTGCGTGTGCGTGTGTGTGTGAACGTGCGTCTCTAGACTCTAGAATGACTTCATTATTTATCTTCTTCCAGTTCATCATCTCTTGCTCACCCGCGTACTGGCCAAAGCATCAATTGATAGCTGTCCCCACACATGAAACACTCAGTACATCTCAACCACCTCATTCGCCCCATACAAACTCATTCATCTCTGCTCATCTCTTAATCATCACCATCATCACCTTCGTCTGCCTTTACAATTTCAACTGCACCAACCAACCAGTCAATGAATCAGCTCTCGTCAGTAAATGCTTTTCGTATTGCTCACCATCAATATGGAACAGTCTGCCAATCACCACCCGTCAGCAATCATCAGTTGAATTCTTTAAGAAACCATTGAAGTAGCATCTATATTAACGGTTGTCATTATCTATCATTATAGGACATGTGCTATAGTTCGATTTTTGGCTGATACAGTGAGTTGTGCTGGTAGTTTTCTTTTTACCAGATTCATAGTAGTCAATCTCATGAAAGTAAGAAAATGTATAATTTGGTGACGGTTTTTTTCATAAAATATCTTATATTGTGACAGAAATGTCATTTGAATCAATTTTAGAACTAACTCTATCTAGTTGTACTCTTTTTAATAATTGATAAGCTTCGTAGGTAATGGTGAATATTAAATCATTTAATTTCTCATAATTTGATTCATTTATTTTATATTCATTTAAATTCATTTAATATTTATTTTTAGGGATGCTAAAAGGTTATGTTAAAGGTTAGGCTAGGCTTACATGGCACATAATAACAACATCACTAATTGTGAGCTGAGCTGGACAATTTTCTTTGTGCTTTAACTTGGGTTATGCATACATTATAAGTTGATCTTTGTGTAAAAGAACTTGTGCACGTGCATGCATGGCACACAATAACAGCATCACTAATTGTGAGCTGAGCTGGACAATTTTCTTTGTGCTATAACATGGGTTATGCATAAATTATAAGCTGATCTTTGTTTACAAGAAATTGTGCACTTATATATAATAGTATATGACGATGATGCAGCTATAAAGCGCATAATTTAAGAACAATATATTTATTAAGCATTTTTTATTATTGGTGAATTTTATAAAAATGGCTGAAAAGAAATCCGGAGTATGGGCGTTTTTTGACGTTAAAACAAACGATAAATCCAAGGCAGTTTGTAAGGAATGCAATGCAGTATTGTCGCGGGGTAAGCCTGATAACCCCAAAAGTTTCTCAACGTCTTCTTTGATTACTCATCTAAGGTCAAAGCATCCACTTATGATAATATGAACAGTTTAAAGTCGCAGTAGCCGTAGAATGCGAAGATGCCACCTCAAATGACAGTGATGCGAGTTTGCTAGGAAATGTATCAATCCAGCCCACCCAGCCAAAGATTAGAGAAGCATTTGACAAACAAAAACCTTGGGATATAAACAATGACAATGCTAAGCGTATCCATGTGGCGATTGCTAAAATGATAGTGATAGATATGGAGCCTTACCAGGTCGTCAAAAAATCAGGATTTATCAATTTGGTGAAAACCTTGGAGAGAAGGTACAGCATGCCTTCTCGAAAGTATTTCACCGAACGTGTAATTCCTGATCTTTTTGAAAAAGCATCTTCATCACTGAAGGAGAAGGTAGCTGGAGCATTGAGCCTTGCGTTTACAACAGATACATGGACAGCAGACATAACAACGGAGTCATATTTGGGATTGACAGCCCATTGGTTAACTCCTACGTTCGAACGCCAAAGTTATGTTTTGCAGTGTGTAAAATATTCAGGTCAACACACAGCAGCAAATCTACTGTCAGCGTTTGATAGGTCATTCGAAAATTGGAACATTCCACGAAACAAATGTCATTTAGTTTTGCGAGACAATGCGGCAAATATTACCAAATGTTTCGGAGATGGAAACATTAAAAGTGCACCTTGTTTTGCCCACACGGTTCAACTCTGTATCAACGATGGTATATTAAGTCAACGTGGTGTTAGTGATCTCCTGAAAGTTGGACATAAATTAGTAGGCCATTTCAAACACTCGTCATCAGCCACGGATCGTTTGCACAATTTGCAAGCGGATTTAAATCTGCCAAAACACCAGTTAATTCAGGACATCCCCACAAGGTGGAATTCAACATTCTTCATGGTGCAGTGACTGTTAGAGCAACGTCGAGCAATAACATTGTACTGTGCTGAAAATGAATCTGTTACTAATTTATCACCAAATCAATGGTCTGTTGCTGAAACTGTGGCTGCGGTTTTGAAACCATTCGAGGAGGTTACCAGAGAAGTTAGCTCATCATCAGCATCTATATCTTTGGTTATTCCAATGGTGTATCTTTTGGTATTAGTTTTGGAAAAAGAAAGTCGGGATGCTGGCATTAAAACAATGAAGGCCACACTGCTGAATGCTATCAACACCAGGTTCCAAAACATTATAAATGACCGAGTTTACAGTGTAGCCACAATGCTTGATCCAAGGTTTAAGACCCGCTTCTTGAACGATACAGCTTGTACCGATGCGAAGGCAGGAGTTGTGCTTGCTGCCACTAAATTGTTACCTCAAAATAACAAAGAATTAGAGTCTACATCAGAGGATGTGCAATCCCAAAAGCCAACAAAAAAAAGACGTGTTGATGAATCATCTTCAAAATTGTGGGACTGTTTCGAAGATATGTTGGAAAATGAAGTAACGAGTATTTCTAACAACAGATCACTTCAAGATAGCATCAGTGATGAACTCTCAACTTTCTTGGGAGAACCATTGTTACAGCGACAGGAAGACCCAGCTACATGGTGGAAGTTTAACACTGCAAAGTATCCAACCATATCAAAGGTTGCACAAGTTTACCTAGCACCTCCACCAACAAGTGTACCATCCGAAAGATTGTTTAGCACGGCTGGAGACATCATCACTGAGCATCGCACAAGACTGCTTCCTGACAACGCTGAGAAGCTGATATTCTTAAAATACAATGCTTCTCTTATTTAACTATTTACATGTGAAATAATAAACTTTTTTTGTACACTGGAATTTTTTCAATAAAAAACAATCAATACTTTATGCTTTGTGTTATTTTTTGGTGTTCAACATGTAGATAACCGTAAATGTGAGTATTTTTTCTAACGTATGTAAAATAGTAACTAAAATCCGGCCCCGGCCGGTTTTTGAATTTTAAATCCGGCCAAGTCCGGCCCCGGCCGGATTTGAAAAACCTAAATCCGGTGCATCCCTATTTATTTTATAATCATTTTCAATGCTACATTATTTTATTAACTTTGAATCTATTTGTTTTATTGGAAAATAAAAGGATGTTCTTCTTCATCTTCTTATTTTTATTATATTATTATTATTTTTATTATTTCTTATTAGTTATCGTCTCGTGATAATCACATGAAAGATTTTTTTGTAAACAAGCGGGCGCTTGCAAAACAATACAATACCGAAGAAAATAAATAAAAAGAATTTCACTATAATATATTATAATAAATAATAAAAGACTAATTAATTATAATAATTATTATTATTATTATGCCATAATTTCCCATCTCTTGATTAAAGAATAATTGTATTTTTCATTTATCACACTAACTAACATTTTTAGATTACTAATAATCATAACTTCATAATATTATTAATATATAAATATTTTTATTATTATTAATATTATTTTTTATTAAATTTATTATTATTATTATTTATTATTAAATAATTATTATTATTATTAATATTATTTTTATTTGTACCTGTTCTCTGTTCTTTATATCAGCGTAACAATAGAAACCTGGGGTATAATATATATATATATATTATATATATATGTATATATATATATATATATATATATATATATAAGATGTTATATAACATTTAAGCAAGTAGCTAATTATTATATAAGAATATTATTTTTATTCATTTATTTACAGAGATGGCGCTTTTTAAATAGGACAGTTACTTGCATTAAGGTCGGTATTTCGATTTACTCGATCGGTATTATTATCGGTTTTTGGTTTAATTAAAAATATTATTTGTTAAATTTAAATTATTTAAGTTATATTTAACGTTATTATATTATTTTTTTAAAGATTTATTGGTATAAATTACAATTTCTCACGCTAAATTAAATTTGTTTAAAAATTGATATTCACTCGAATGTTTTAAACTATTTATTGTAACATCTCGGTCACCTGTTAAGGTTCTCAGATATAAAAGTGGACTTTTACGTGTTCGCTTTGTCACTTTTTAAATCGATATTACATCCGTTTTGGCTCTAAATACTCGATTTTTCAACTGAATACGGCCTGCAGTTAGTGCAGAGTTATCAAATTTGGTTTCAATTAGATGAATGTCGTTCATTAATTAGCTTTTTAAGTGTTTTTCAAAACTAAATTCATCGTGTGGCGTTTTTTCCACACAAAATCTGACCCAATTAGTGGAATTTTTTTCTCTGTGTATTTCCTTCTACTAACAACTAACTACTTCCTTCTTCAATTAAATTTAAGTTTTTAAATCTTGCAGACGTATAAGTTTCACATTTACTTTACAAATAATATAAATTATTTTATTCAATTTATTATTAATTAATATAATATAAATTGTTAATCAATTTTTTTAACTTTTAGGCCTAAAATAAAAGTTTTAAAATGGCGAAGTTGTCGTCGGCAACATTCCTGGTCGCGATTTTTGCAGTTGCATTCGCCAGGGCGAAAGATTGGGACGAGATTTCTCCCCACCTCTTCCCATTTGGACTGGAAAATGATCTGACGGATCCGGAATTTGAAGTCGCTTCGGATCCTAAACCCTGCTGTTTCCCAGAGACTTGGCAGGGCGTCCTTAGTGCTTCGATTGCTAAGGCACCAAGAAGGGGTCCAGCTACCCACAAAAGTTCTCTCAGTAAAGTTTACATAGATGGCCCCAACAAGAGAATCGCTGTCAGGATCCAGTGTCCCTATCTCAAGAGAGATGTCATTGGAGTTGTTGGTTGGTTGAGTTTTTTTTTTTTTTGAATTCAAACTTTCAGAAAATAAATTATGCCTCATTAAGGTTATTATTAAGTATTTGTGAATAATTTTATTCATAATTTTTTTATTGTAAAGACTAATAATTCCAGAACCTAAAAACACACATACCACATATGCACACACCAACATACATACCTACACACACACCACACACCAACACACATAGGAATCTACAACCCAACAACCGGAATTGGCTTCACGTTGTACGCATTCAAAATTGAAAATGCCACTAAATGTTGGAGCCACAAATTCGACAAGTTGCCCTACAAGAAGTCTTGCATCCCTGAAAATGCTACCTTCGTCGGTTCTGCTAAATTAGGTAAGTGCTATTCTCATGCTTTACCTATTCATAATTTATTTTGTTGTTCTTATTTATTTTATTTAAATTATATGTATATGTGAGTCCTACCTCGGGAAACCGCTAACTGCAGTAGTAGTGCCAGGCATCTTAGCAGTTGCACTGTCATGCTATCATCGGTTGATGATGATGATGAAGAGATGAAGATGATGGTGAAGAAGAAGATGGTGGTGAGGAAGAAGATGGTGATGAAGAAGAAGAAGATGGTGATGAAGAAGAAGAAGATGGTGATGAAGAAGAAGAAGATGGTGATGAAGAAGAAGAAGATGGTGATGAAGAAGAAGAAGATGGTGATGAAGAAGAAGAAGATGGTGATGAAGAAGAAGAAGATGGTAATGAAGAAGAAGAAGATGGTGATGAAGAAGAAGAAGATGATGACGTCGAGAATAACCTGATGATGGAAAATAACGATGATGGAAGCATCAATTAAGTTGATATCAACAACGATTTTGTCTTTATATCATCATATATATCACCATGTATCATATACCATCAATTGTAATAGCACACTACAACAACTAAAATATATTGAATTGACACAAGTTCCGAACGAAATTACAATTGCACTTGAAAACGACTCATAGGATTGTATGACTCTGGGCTGGCGATCAACGCTTTCGGCCACTCATTCAAATCCTGTCAACTGGAATGGGAGGGGTCCTTTGCGGTTACCGACGCCTGCATTCCCATCCTCTTCCGGGAATCCGGAGTGATTGGTGGCCGCCGGGGAGATAAGTGTGTGAAAGGAGAGGGCAGTAGTGATGATGAGGCTGATGATGAGGGTGATGATGAGGATAAGAAGGAGGATGTATCTATTCAGGGTGGGTTTGGTGTTGTGGTTGTTATCACATTCTGCTGCTTCTTCTTCTTCGTCGTCATCATCATCAACTTCTTTTTTATCATCTTCTTCTTCACCATCTTCTTCGTCGTCATCATCTTCTCCTTCTTCTTCGTCATCATCATCATCATCATCTTCTCCTTCTTCATCATCTTCATCATCACCATCTTATTTTTTTCGTTGCCATCATCGTCCAATTCTTTCTCACCTCTTCACCACCATCACCCCCACAACGCAGGCATCGATCCTACTATCAGACTAGGTTTCCGCCTCACCTTCCAACCCGAAAGTAAAAAGCCTCGCCCCCGCCCAGGGCCACGCCGTGGGGGGTCCACGAAGTTCGTTGTCAACGTCGCCTACCTTAACCTCCAGCCTAAAATTAGCGACCCGTCTGTCTTTAACGTTCCAGACATTTGTAAGAAGTCAGAAGTGGTGAGGGAGATGATGGGAGCTGGGAACGGGATGGATGACAGGTTCAAGGAGGAACTGGATGGGATTGTTAATATCCTGGAGCATGGAGTGCTGTGAAGGAAGTGAATGGAGTGAGAGGATGAAGGAGTGAGAGAGTGAAGGAGTGAGAAGAGGAATGAAAAAGTGAAATGACGATGACAATGAAAATTTTTCAATGAAATTTGAGACTCATTCAATCAAAAAGAAACTAACTTAACTTTAATACGTAGCTTTCTCAAGAAATATAAGTTCACACCTACATGTGTGTGTGTGTGTGTGTGTGTGTGTGTGTGTGTGTGTGTGTGTGTGTGTGTGTGTGTGTGTGTGTGTGTGTGTGTGTGTGTGTGTGTGTATTTCACTTTTTCTCTTAGCTTTTTCCATTCTTAGTAAGATAACACACATTATTACAATATTTCATTTGCACTGATAATGAAGAAGAAGATGATGGTAGTAGTGATGATGATGACGATGACGATGATGGCAGTGATGATGATGATAACAGCTTGCCACAATTCTTCGATATAACCGGTTTTAACGAAGTTTTCATTCAACGTATGTTATACATGCACTAACCTTTTGACCATTATTGCTGAAGTTTACTGCGATAAAAATTAGTTTTAATGCTTTTATCGAAAATACTTTTTTGTCTTTCATTTCATTTATTCGTTCGTTCGTTCTTTTATATATAGTTATATAGAGTTATTGATTATATATAGCTATATAAAGGTTAAAGGTTACTCTCTCTTTTGCGTTTGCTTCAGAGGTTTCAACGACAAACACACACAGCGTATTTGAATACGCGTGCAAACCACGCATCATACACATTGCATATGATAGGCGGGGATCTCTTTGTATTCGAACCCAGTCATTGCAATAGCAAGACCAGGCGCCTTTAACTATTGAGCCATCACGCCGCCATAGTGTTATATACGGTTGTTAATATGTATATATATATATATATATATAACATAGTTTAGATGATATAAAGGACGAATGTTCTGGATTGCACTGGAACAGCCGAAGCAGCCTGGAATAAATGGCATCTCTTTGCCTCTATATTGATGCGGCGTGACATCCCACTACGATCAAGATTTTATAAATCTGTGATACGTCCGGTGTTGTTATATGGTGCAGAAAGATGGCCAATGACAACCAAACTGAAACAACTTCAACGAACCGATATGAAAATGCTCCGTTTGGATGCAACGAAGCTTTGTTCTCGTTGCACCATGGTTGTGGAATAGCCTTCCGAACACTTTGCTCTATGGTGATTTTTCTCTAAGTCAGTCTAAGAGACAGCTGAGAACCCATCTGTTCAGCTCTTAATAGCATTTAATATATTGAAGCGCCTGTGACGATTTTGATTTTCAAACTGGCGCTTTAAATAAATAATAATTGAATAAATAATTGAATTAAAAAATTAAATAATAATAAGAATAATACATATTGCATGTATGTAATGGAGTAAACCAGATGACAAATTGACATTTAAAAAAAAGTCTTCAAGTTGTGCTACAAAAATGAAAAACAAGCGAACGCTACTCTCAAGTATGAAAGCAATTTTATTTTATTGACGGTCTGTTTTAATCACATTTTCAATTCATTAATCAATTAATTAATTGATTAATTAATTAATTATTTACTCGATTCAATCAAGTAATCGATTAATTAATCTGATTTATTTTTCCGTTATATTTCCCTAAGTCTACGCTTTATAGTCGTAACTTCAACATTGATTTCATGTTTGGAAGCTACTAAATAAATATCGCATGTGTGTGTTTGTATATATGTGTGTTTGTATGTATGTATGTATGTATGTATGTATGTATGTATGTATGTATGTATGTATGTATGTATGTATGTATGTATGTATGTTTGTTTGTTTGTTTGTATGTATGTATGTATAGATATAATATTAAGTTTTTTATATATCAGAGTATCCAATTATATCGAGGTAAAGTTTGTTGTTGATGTTGTTGCTGGTGATGTTGTTGTTGTTAATGTTGTTGTTGATGTTGATGTTGTTGGTGATGTTGTTGTTGTTAATATTGCTGTTGTTGATGTTGCTGATGTTGTTTTCGATGTTGTTATTGTCATAGCCATCAAAGTTACAGTATATATCATTACAGTTGTTGTTGATGTTGTTGTTGATGTTGTTGATGTTGTTGTTGTCGTTGTTGATGATGTTGTTGATGTAATTATTTTTAATAAAATTATCAAGATTACAATATATTTCGTTAGAGTTGTTGATGTTGTCATTACTGTAGTTGTAGTTGCTGCTCTTGTTGTTGATGTTGTTATTGATGTTGTCATTACTGTGGTTGTTGTTGTTGATGTTGTTGACGATGTTTTGGTCGGACTTAATGAGTAAATTTACGGTACTCGAGTTTACGTCGTAATAGCTATTGACGTTTTTGTTGTTGTTACTACTGCTGTTGTTGTTGTTGTTGTTGTTGCTACTGCTGATATTGTTGTTGTTGTTAATGATGATGTTGTTGTTGTTGCTGATGTTTTTGTTGTTGTTGATGATATTTCTGTTGTTGTTGATAATGTTTTTGATTCTGTTGTTGTTGTTATTGTTGCGAAACCTCTTAATGTAATTTGTGGCAACTTGATACAAGAACATGAACTGGACCTAGATAGATGATAATGGAATAATTTAACATAACTTTACATAAATTTACCTAACTTAACATAACTTAAGATAACATAACATAACATAACTTAACATGATACATGATATTATTATTAGACTGGTCAAACCTGAAGTCTATACGACCTCTTACAGTTTCGACCGATCTAGACAACTTTCACGGGGTAAGGGCCCAAAACTTGAAAATGTTTAACATTTTCAAGTTCTTGGGCCCTATTCCGTGCAAGTTTCAAGTCTTCGGTCCTACCCCGTCCTATCCTATTTGGTCCTGCTGCTTTATTTTGCGGGAAGGGGCCAAAATTTTGAATTTTTTACTGGGGTGGGCTAAAATTTTCAAGATTTGTGGAAGTGTGGCTGACGATCTTATTTTGCTTATTAAGTTCAGTTTTGGGTCGATTTATGTCGATTTATCACATAGAACGGTCTTTTTTCTGAATTTTACTAGAAAACTGTTCATCATCTCCTACACCAACGTCATCATCATCATCATCATCATCATCTCCAATATCATCATCATCATCATCATCTCTTACAGCAACGTCATCGTCATCATCATCACCCCATCACCACCAAACTAACGTGACTACAAATGGCTCTCGGCTGCTTGCTGGCCACAGCTCTGCAGACGACTGGAACGTTGCAGTAATCTCCCGCTGAAACTTCTTCGACGATGTAGAATGATGACGAGATGAGTGAACTGTACGTTGCGCCGTCGCTGTGGTGGTGATGAATGAATGAATGAATGAATGAATGAACGAATGAATGAATGAATGAATGAATGAATGAACGAATGAATGAATGAATGAATGAATGAATGAATGAATGTATGAATGAATGAATGAATGAATGAATGTATGAATGAGATGACGATGATGGTGGTAGCGGTGGTGTCGATGATGACGATGATGGTGGTGGTGGTGGTCGTCGTCATGATAATGATTGGAATGATGATGATGACAATGATGGTGGTGGTGATGATGACGATGATGGTGGTGGTGATGATGACGATGATGACGGTGGTGAAGATGGTCATCGTCGTCGTCGTAATCATCATCATTATCATCATCATCATCATCATCACCATCATTTTGATACTAACCAGCAAGCAATAACAATAGTTTCGTTGTGTTTTCTGACATCATCATCATCATCATCGACCTCTCTAATTTTACCATCACCATCTCTTACATTCCACTCATTATCATAATTTATCAAGCCGCGACCAATAGCGACGCAGTTATATAGGTCGACCACGTGACCGGCACGTGATTCGAAATTATCTAGGTTATCCAGTGAGGTCGGTAGGAGGCAGTTCAGATGGAAGATTGTGAAGTCCACTGATTGGTCGGCAGTCTGCTAATTTATCGAGTGATTGATTGATTGACTGATTGATTGGTCAATAAAATGAATGAACAAATGAATGAATGCATGAATGAATGAGTGAATGAATGAATGAATGAATGAACGAATGAATTGATGAGTGGAAAACGAATCAACAGATAAGCTGATACTTTGCTGGAAATTTAAAAATTTAAACGAACGAATGAAGGAATTTGTGAATGACGAAACGACTGAATGAGTGTGTGAGTGAGCGAGCGAATGAATGAATGAATGTATGAACGAATGAAAAAACAAACGATTGTAAAAACGAATCTGCCAAATATACAAACCTCCTCATTCCATCTACAATTATAAACTGTGATGACGTCAGAGAGACGTGATGTTTCGTAGCACGTGACCGGTTGTTGTTGTTGTTGCATCGAATAGAAAATATGCTGTTATTATTATTACAATTATTATTATTAAAGAAAAAATTTATAAAGCGCTAATTAAAAGTTAAGATTCTCAGAAGCGCTACCCATCGGCAAAAAAGCAAAAGTGTAAGCGAAACGGCATTGCATACCAAAAAAAAAAATCAAAAATGTAACATAATAATTATAAGAATTATAATCACCACCATCATCATCCCATCCCCATCACCACCATCATCATCCTCCTCCCCCTCATCATCATCACATCATTATCCGTATCACCACCATCATCACATCATCCTCTTTCTCCTCCTCATCATCATCATCATCATCCTCCTCCCCCTCATCATCATCACATCATCATCCGTATCACCACCATCATCACATCATCCTCTTTCTCCTCCTCATCATCATCATCAGCATCCTCACAATCACAATCATAACTTACCTGACAACCTCTGCCAACGAAAACGAAGGAAAGGTAGCCACGGTTTCGGACGGCTGTCTCGAAAAAGGCGGTGACCTCATTTTGATCGGGAATGTAGGTCAGCCAATAGGAGTCCTTCCTTCTGTAGCCCTGGTTGGAAAACCCCAAAAAATAATTATAATGATGAAAATAATAATAATAAATAATAATAATAATATAATAATAACCAACTAAACATCCAAGCAAC